TTTTTCCAATTTTTTAAATTAGGTGTGTTAAGATGAAATTTGTATCACCAATTAATTGGAATATTGTAAAATAGTACAATTTGTTGACCAGAATAAAGATTGGGACATATTATTCAGTTACAACAAGAGTGGTATTGAGCCTTTAAGTAAGATCTTATTACAGAGGTACTGCCCCTGTCGCAGAGACAGTAAAAACAATGCAAAAAAACGACTCTTGAGATGATGGGGATTGGTTTCTTAGATATGTTAGAAAAACAACTTGCTATGAAAGATTAATTTTACATTATATTGGGTGGGCGGTATATATTAGTTTAACATTTAAGACGAACTTTTCAATCCGTTTAAAAGCTCATATTAATGCACCAGATTAAATCGGAAATGATTGGAAATATTACATGATAATTTTTTGTACTGGAACCATTAACGTCGGAGCGAATGTAAGAAGACCATTGAGTGGAAACTGAAAAGATAAGATTTCCCGGTTGGATATCTAAATGTCAGGAAACCAATGGAAAGAGAACGTAAAATCTGTACGTTATTTTTTTAATACAAACTATTCGATATTTTAATTTTTTTATCTAATTGACACTATAAATTTCCATTTTATCCACATTGTGAAGTCCTTGAAAGCTGAAACATAGATTTTTTCTACCTAAAGTAACCGACAAGTTGTAGATTATGGCTAACCTTGAACGCAGTATCCTAACTTGTTATAAAAAAAAGAATTCCATTACAGTTAATTTTGAATCTTTAAAAAAAAATGAATAAAAAAATCAAGGGTATTTCGTTGTTAAAAGGACACAGTCTCTTGAACTAAATTCGGTGCTGTTACGGAATTCTTTTACCCAAATCAAAGAAATTTGATTCCTTTAAAGATACATTATGTAAGATTATGGCCGTTCTGGCTGTAATAGTTAAAAAATAGATAATGAAAAATGAATATTTGAATATGTCATTCATATATTTCATGTACTTTATTCTGAGCGAAGTTATGTGTGTTTGAAGGGATTGACAAGATGTAGCGTAGATGTTTCCTTATGGAAGCAACAGTACTTAACAATCGAGAGTAAGTCTCGATTATCCATTTCACGTTAGATTTTTTGAATCTCGCGGATTCTTATTCCTTTAAATCATCCGATGGTCTAAATAATAGTTTATATAAAATTTGAAGCCAGATGAAAGACCTTCAGTAGGCAAATTTATCTCTTACATATTTCTGAGAGCTACGATGGCTAAGTGACCAAGACGCCGGCTCGCTAGTCTGGAAGTAGCGGGTTCGCTCCTGGTGTTGACCGAGAAATTTCATCGGGATTTTCCGGCATGGGGTCCCCTTGTCCGTGGTTTGGGACGGGAGGACCTGACAAGGACAGCTGTCTAGACGTTCAGATGGGACAAAAAAACGATGTCTCGTGCACACATTGGCATGCACAAAAATATTCGATATAAGAATAGGCCATAGCACCGCTGCCCCCCCCCCCAGCACAATGTAGGAGCAGAACAGTAGGACATTAAACCCAATTTCATTTCATTTCACTTACATAAATCATCCTTAAAGAATTTTGTTTGTATCTACGATATTAATTTCTATCTGTCCATTTATCATCGCAAATGCCGATCGAGCTCCTTTTGTGCTACTCGAGTAATTTTACTCTATAATGTAAACGTATTTCCAAGTTATGTCTTGAACACACAAACTTGTAATGAGATTTGGTTTCTTTGTGTCGTGGACAAGTTATTGCAACAACATCGTTGTTCTTAGCGTTTCCATAGTTAATGCGTTCGCCAACCGTAATTGCCGTCGGCAAAAAAACTAACATTAATATATTCTCTTAGGAAGAAAATGTTACGAGGTCATGAATACTGTCTTGTCGCTTTCCCGTAGCCGACCGCCTGGAATTAATGTATACTCGAGACATAAGAGCCCCAGTTCGTGTATCTCATATGTCGTCTATGATGAGCTTTCAGATTTATCACAAGGTGTATATACAGTGACCTTTTCGGGTCAGACTAGATAATTATTTACTAGTGATTGACATAGTGCGATCTGATGTATACATATTTTACAACCCACACTTGTCATAATAAGAGCGAGAGAAATAAACGTGGTTTAATGACCACTCGACACAAACTAGGTCATTTTGGGACTAACAAAGGGATTCACGTTATTTCAATAATAATAAATCATTTGCGTGTAGGGGTCCTAGCAGTGGGCAGGCGACCCTATTCTTTGTCACTTATAGGCGGGGAATCGAAACCACGCCACTTGCCTTAATTACAGACCTTACCCCCCCCCCCCCCTGAATTAATGAAAACACCTGACATCAACAAAGACATGCATTTACATAATGGTATCACTAAGTTATATAAGGTGCCAGATACCAGGATTCACCACTTGTCTGCGATATCAACCCGATGGAAGCGAGTGTTAAGCCCTATGATCGAACGAAAAAGCGCACGTCCTTTTCTGTCGTATCACCCACTTTCGAAACAGACCTTAAACCACATGGTAGCCGCGGTGACTAAGTTGGCTCGCTAGCCTGGAGTTCCTGTGTTCGATCCCGGTGTTCCCCAAGACGGAGGGCTGACAAGAACAGTGTCTATAGTCATGATCCTGTGTATGCATTGATGTGCATGTAACAGAACCATTGACGGTGTTGTAATTCGAAATCAGAGTAGCAGGTATAGCGCCGAAGTCCGGGAACAATTTCCCTCTTAACCCGTAAAACATTCTTAATGAGTAGACAGAAACGCATGGCATATGCCCGTCTTCATTAGGCCGGGGGTGCATACAAGTATGACATTAAACCCCATTTCATTTAATATTTTTAGAGTTTGGTATTCGAACAAAATTCACCCTTTTAATAAACAAAATATTATATTGATCAACTAAGATCTCACTCGTTTGGAACTAGAATTTCATTCGATTGATATCAGTATGAATCGTGCTTCATACTATTTTAATGTGATAAGATCTGGCATTAAGGGCTTTAAACAAACCCTATTTAATACCCTGCATGTGGTCTCACGCACCTCAAGCTGTATATGTATTGATAACAGAGTTGTCAACATACGAGAGAATTGTTTACATGTATTTGTCATGACAGGCAAGTGGCTAAACCGTTTGTCACTTGTGTCATTGTGAACATGGGGATTAGTTCAGATTAACTTAACATTTGTAAATGTCACTAGATCAGAGAGAGAGAGAGATAAATGGGGTTTAACGTCCACTCGACACAAACTAGGTCATTTCGGGACTAACATATTTTATTTACATAATTCGCTTGCGCGTAGGTGCCTTTAGCAGTGGGAGGAAATCGGAGGACCCGGAGAAAACCCACGAGGTTTGACAGGCGCCCCTACTCTTTGCCACGTACAACCGGGGATTCGAAACCACGCCAGTCGACTCAATGACAGACTTTATGATACAGCGCGCGCACGCTAACCATTCAGCCATCCACCCCCCTCCACTAGATCAGACTTAGTCTTTACATCATTTTCAATCAGTGTCGATTGTAACATGCAATTAAACATGTAACAGTCGAGAGAGAGAGAGAGAGAGAGAGAGAGAGATGGGGTTTAACGTCCACTCGACGCAAACTAGGTCATTTCGGGACTAACACATGGGTCAATTTTATTTCAATAATTCGCTTGCGCGTAGGGCGCTTTAGCAGTGGGAGGAAACCGGAGGACACGGAGAAAACCCACGAGGTTGGACATTCGACCCTACTCCTTGTCACGTACAACCAGGGAATCGAAACCCTGCCAGTTACCTGTAAAGAAACACGCGTCAGGTCGACTCCTGCTCTGGCAGTAGAGTGAAAACCTACGAGATTAGGCAGGGGACAACACAGGGCATTGTCACCTACAAGCTCTGGGTCTTTGTGGAATAGTACGTCCTCCAGAACGGGTTATGGAATCATTAAGCGCATTCTAAGTTGCCGCCATCATCATAATATCCGGTATATCCCACCAGACGTAGTACAGCCTTCCGAGCCGATTACGGAATCGTTATGTTTTAAGTTAAGTTTTATGCGTTATAATAACAACCTTGACCATTTCTTTGTTTGCAACTTGAAGTTTTCATCAAACTACTGTCTTTTGTTTCCTAATTCTGTATTGGAAATTTAAAATGATACTCTTCAAAAAAAAGTAGGGGATATTGAAATGCAAATACCTATGCAGGTTGTGATATGATAGTCATGGATACTTGACATGCTTTGAGAGTATGTTCACAGATGAAGAACTTATCGCCCCAACAGAACCACTGAGCTGCACATGCGACACGCAATAGCGCCATACACGAGGGAGGGGTTCATTGTCAAATTTGACACTTCAAGGAAGGGTTGATGAAAACTGCCCCTTGCTGGTTTATCTGCCCATGTTTGCTTTCCTATCGGTTCTTGCATAGATTTACTGTTTAGCGTATCTTTGCTTTGTTACGTTTAATTTGATCGGGAGACGTGTTCGTCGACGTCAACGTCAACCGACAACACTGCAAGAATTCGCCGTGGCACTGCAAGAGGAGTGGGTCAGATTGCCCCAAATCGTGATTGGACGGTTGATTAGGAGCATGCCACGACGAATTACTGAATGTCTGAGGATTGGTGGAGCAATTACTCATTATTAAGATAAAAATCAAAAACGTCCATTATCACTTTTGGCGGTATGTCTCTTTGCGAGTGAAATGGGACCGTCAGATAAGCCGCCCACATGAAATGTTTATGTTCATGTGTAGGAAATTGGCCTGTTATTAACATACACTGGTTACCTCTAATAAAAACAGCAGTGCATTTCCACAGTTTTGTATTGTTTCTGAATATCCCCTACTTTTTTTTAAAGAGTATATATGGGACATCTTGACGACGGGATTAAGGTTTTCGTTATCGTTCATCGTATCTGGGTCACTCTAAACACTAGCACCAGACCCTCTAGCAGCTTTGGACAGTTCCTCGCCATATCAATATTGTATGTTCATTTCTCATTCACTTATTTCTTTTCAGATATATCAGCCGGTTTAGTAAACGTTTTAACAGATATTATATGGAAGAGTACGATAGATTGGCATGGTGGTAACGTAGGCTGTAAACTAGTACGTTATGCGCAAGGAGTTGTGACGTATGGTGCAACGTTTGCTTTGGTGGCACTTAGCATAGATCGCCTTGATGCTATCGCACGACCTCTAAAATTCTCAGGAAGTGGTAAGTAATGCTATCATTTTGCCGAAAAACGATATGTATGAACTGACATTTAATCTTTGAACAATTTCATCAAACTACATTTGTTTCCCTTTGATGTAATCCTAGAGTAGTTCAGTGTTTCGGCTTTAATACGCTACCTTACCTAGAAGGAAAGTAGTAGTTATTAGCACACTTTCCGAGGTGTATCGGTGAAGATCAGGCCAGTTTTGATCGAGGGTCCCAGTCGAGGAAAGGCGCTAATAAGTCACTTACGTCACATTTCTGTCGAGTCGTGTCAAGCGAAATGTGACAAATATTTTCTGCTCTTTCATTTATCCCTTTCTTTGTCTAATGTTACATTTCAAGGCAGAATGGAAAAACGACCTAAGTAGTATTGCATTTACACGTGCGTCTTGCTGCGAAATGTGACAAATACTTTCTCCTCTTTCATTTATCCTTTTCTGTGTCTCACGTTACATTTCATGGTAGAATGATTTCGCAGTGGAGAAACGACCTGAGTAGTATTGCATTTACACGTGCGTCTTGCTGCGTTACCCTGAGCGTAAAACAGTCACGTGTTTTTTAGACTGCACTCCGCACTCGGCAAACCCCGACAGATTCCGTTACTCTACATCTAGCCTCGGCTGTATGACGATAAGTGATATGCACCTACGCCTATACAATTGCGATGCGACACCGGTTTACTTATTAGGAAAACTTGCCGCTTTTAAAAAAATGTTATCAAAATTGCGTCGTTCGAAGCGTGTATAGAATTTTTAGTGTAAAGTTGTCCTTGTTTGAAGAAAATCGGATAAACTTGAAAGAAAAACAGCTTCAGACTTTGAAATATTTGTATGATAAAACATTCTTCAAAGGCTTCGTCATGGGCAACGCCGGTGGTAATCCGGGAACTTGAAAGTAGTTCCAATGGCGGACTTCGACATACAGCCGAGGCTAGATGTAGGGTACTGGAATCTGCTGAGGTTTGCCGAGTGCTGCACTCCGCAGATAGATGACGTGAACATAGAGCCATCACAACGTGTCCCTGGGACACTGCAAAACGTGGGTCAATCCTGGTGAAGTGCTTATCGGCGGATGGTTCGTCCGTTGAAATTTATTTGTAATAAAATTTATGACTTTCTAAGCGTTTGTTTTCATCCTGCTTATTTTCAATGCCTCTATAAAAGTGGTCGTTTGTCGGATATGAACAGTACTCTTTCTGGAAAGCGTACTGTTCATTTCTGATACACGTCTACTTCTATTCCTGTATTGGAAATAAACAGGAAAGTTTTATCAAAGGTTGCCACTGGCAACGAGGTGGAAGTGGGATGTAATATATTAAACTTGGGTGAAGTTATTGTTTTATAGGCGGGAGAGGGGGTGGGGGTGGATGTCACTAACGCGGTTGTGTATCTGATCTCCAAAGAATATACATGGTGTCTAAATGATGCCTTACATTGTGTTATTAATGATATTTCCGTTTCTGATGGATATATAGTGTTTTTGAGACGTCACGATGTAGGCACTAATTGATTGACTCATCTAACGTGTTTATAAAGTTAATAGTCATAAACAAACAATATAAAGGCGATTTGGTGTTATTATATATCATTTATCTAAATCACGTATCTTTAATAAGCAACAGATTATATAGAAAGAATGTTGTGTTTTGACTTTCTTAGAAAATATGAAATGATTACTGTAAGCTTCCAAACTTATTTCTTTAAAATGAGATACCACATTTTCTTATACAGTCTATGTTTTATTTACAGTCAGTAGGCCTATGGACCATATGGTCTGTAATTATAAGGCCCATGGAACTGGTGATTTGAAACGATCAATTGTCACGATTTAACATTCTGTGTATATTGTGTTTACATAAAAAAAATATTCTGTCTGTGGAGCAATATACCGTAAATATGAATATAGTATGCCCTTGTAAACAGAAATTAAAATTATACACCCATTTGAAAGAATTGACTTAATTTGGTCAAATATTCACAAAAACCATTATACTTCTGGCCTAAGCTAATGATGGCTATAATAGTCTGGACTGGTGAGAAGTAGGCTACATATAGTACATGAATGATTCTTATTATTTAAACAGTCTTAATATATAACCTAACGATAATGATATGAACTTTGATTAATAATATTAATAAACCAACATCGTTTCCCTTTAAATCAAAACAGAAATCAAATCTAGACTGATTGGATTGTCATAGCAGACTAGGCCTTTGCATTATTATAAGATTGGATTCTAAAAATAAGCCCGACGTCAGAGACGGGGATTGTTTCTTTATTCTTCATAAATTATAACCCTTTCCGCAGTATTAGGTCAAAAAGAAACCCAGACTAGAAATGAAAACAAAAATAATATCGGGTGAAAAGAAGGAACTGGTAATTGACGTGTGTGCAAACTAATGCGCATGCGTTCCAATTCTACCGAAGAGGAATGGCGCCACCTGCATTCATGAAAGTACCTGGCAATGCTTCTCGGATAGGCTTCTAATAAAACTTTTGATCATTCTATTATTTTCTGTCTATACTGTCCGGATATCTTCTATACTAGCACCGAGGTCAAGTGTGCACATTGGCGTTCACGTAAAAGAACCCTTATCAGTTAGAATTAGATATAATAGTAGGCCGTAGTTAAGCTGTCCGGGCAAAATTTTCCTTATAACACACCGTATGGCGTATCCCCGTTTTCATAAGCCCAATCAGTGCAAAACAGTATTTCATTTCATTTTATGACTTGCAACGTACAAGACATCGGTTATATCTATCATCAGTTTAGTTACCTGACTTTGCCGGAAGTTTAGTAATTGCCCCCCTTGATCTTTTGCTATCTTATTACGGCCTTATTATACTGTTTGAGCCAAATCATTTTTGTTTTGTACAAGGATTAGGAATATGTTTAGTGGACTGAAGGAATAGTCCTATACTGCTTAAAACAAATATCAATAAATAGAAAAAATATAAATAGCATTGTACCCGACCTTGATTGCAAAAGGGAATTCAATACATTGGACAGAAAATAGGACGTTAAACACCATTTCATTCATTCATTCATCCGATACATTGTTTAGCCATTTCCTGTAAAATCAAATGCATATGTTCGGGAAGTATTAGATATCAATATCGATATATTTATGGGTCACTTGACGTGGTGCGGGTGTTATCATATTATATCCAATAACTGTTCAATCATTGAGTTAAAATAGAGTTATCGACCCCAACCGCCATGTAGTCGAGGTTAAATTAGAAGATATAATTAGACGATTATATTGATGAGATTGCTTCTTTATTGGATCAAGTGATTATTAATTTGATGGACTGTTAATGAGTAGTCGCGCTCAACCTGTTAATTGATAATCTACCGGAAAGAAATGTTGGCTGAGTGTTTATGTTTGTTCCCATCTAGGATGAAGAATGAAATGAGGTTCGACGTCCTATATTTTTGCAACTATCGGGATACTGTAGACCGACATTCGCTATGCAGTGTGCTATGCGCTACGCAGACTCTTACTTGGATCCTTTTAAGTGCTCTCTCGAACGTGTACAACGTCCTTGTTTTTTCGTGCCCTCCGAACGACCAAACGCCGCTCCTTGTCAGGCCCTCCGTCATGTGTAACACTATGTCTTACAGATAACAGAATATCATAATGTATATAAGACCTTTATTGGGAACATGAAATAGACACAAATCGAGAGGAGCTCTATTCCAAGTCTGACTTGCTGTCAGTAAACGTCTGCTTATAAAGCCTCTAACATTTAGCGGAGGTGGACAGGAGTGATAATCATATATGGTATTGTTTATTATCAATTATGGTGTTTGTAATTAAACTGCATGTTTCTTTAAAAGTCATTGTCAGGTCAAGGTATAATGAACTGACAACTAATACATTCTCTTTGAAGTTCCGTCTAGTGTTACACGCGGATCATGTGTAGCTTGTTGAAGAACATCTTGAATTAACTAGATGTTTATTAAGAACGTGTCTTCACAGAAGTTGTCGAGAGTTTAAACGTCAACTTCAGTTATAGATCAGATTGTCACACCAGGTTATTTATTAACGAACATAATATAACGTCAACTTCAGGTATAAATCACTCTGTTACACCTGCACCACTGACAAAGGGAAACCACACTCGAGAATAAGCTCGGTCATTTTTCTTAACAAATATCATATAAGTCATTAAATAAAAATAACAAATATCTAACGAATTTGATCACAAACCATGCTCAAGACCATCGCGTTTCAATACAATCTGATTATTTACCGGTTTTGTATTATTGTCGCCCGTGCTTTTCCATACAGCGACTTATATGTATATTATTCAGGTCGAAATGATGAACCATTGTTTCATTAGATTGACGGCATAAGGATTGAAATATATGACCAGATTATCAATTTCAGACAACAGATAATCGATCAATTTATTTAAGATAATATTGTACCGACAACTAACTACATAAAAAAAACCCATCTACTATTTGATATATTGTTGATACGCGAGTAATTTGCGTGACACGTCTTCTTTAGATACTTCTCACTTAAATTAAACAAAAAACCTTATATATCTATAATTTGACACGCAAATGAATATCATACAATCCTTAGATTGGGATATGTAGTAAAAACTCCTTCATGATAGTTGAAATTTATATTACTTCCGGATTCTGGAATGTGGGTGTATAAATGAAATGAAATGGTAGTTAACGTTCAACGTTTCTGCACAGCCCCGGTTAACGAAGATGGGGATGCGAGCGTTCTTTTACGAGCACACCGGTTTTCTTGAAATTCTATTGTCTTTGAGGAGTTTTAATACTGCTTCAGATATATACTTGTGGTATTTGTCTAAAAAAGACCCCAGACGCGTTACAATATAGGTTATATGCAGTGATAGGTACGTATCTGTATTAGAAATGAAATGAAATGGGATTTAAAAGCCTGTTTTTCTGCACCGACAGGGCTATAAATAAAGTCGGGCATATTCCATAGTGTACTATGAGGGAA